GGTGGCAGTACGGGAAGCCGCGCGGAGATAGTGGACAAAGCTTTAACATTGAGTTGGCAGGGGTTGCGCCATTTTATTGAAGCTTCCATCTTTTCCAGCTTAGCCAATACTATTTGTAGGGTTGGTTCGTAAAGCGTGGTCATTGTTTCACTTTACGATAGGAAAGTGGGGTAAATAATCAATCGAAAATTATTGGAGATAAGATGTACTGCAGAGACATTTTCCTTGGACAAAACAAGCTCTTTTTGTTTGTGCGGTCGTGTCAAGTGGTTGGTCAATCTGCTAGCTATCCGTGCGCGGCTGCCTTGAACGGCAGCGCAAGAGATGCGGCTTCCCCCAAAATCGATCAAACATTAAAGTTATTACAAAAAAATACTTTTTATTCATAATCATAATTATAAAAAATAAAACGAAGCGTAAACTTAGCCATGCCCCTTATTACATCACTACATTAATTTTTAAAGGTAATTTTACAAGAAAAATATTTCTCCCCTTACTATAGCTAAATAGGGGACTGTGACGTGGCCTCCTTTCCCAAATCTCCCCCCTTATGCTAAGTGTTTGATAAGAATGAGAGTAGGAAAGTTGAAACCAACGTTCTACCCGCCATCCCATGTGCCACACAATAAAAATGACTGCTTGGTTTAAGCAGTCACTTTTACTGTGCAGCAAAACTTACAACAGAAGGGCAGACATTTGGCAGAAGGCCTCATCACAGTCTCCTATATAGCCCATCGGGGCCAGGAAGCCTGATTACTTCTTGTTGTTGGACTTTGAGGAGTACTGGGGGTTGTTGGGGTTCTTCTGGTTGGCCCTGTTGTTCGAGTTAGACTGAGAACCTTGGTACCCCGAGGGACGGCCTGTAACATTCAAATAAACATTAGACAAATAATCAAGAGAGCTCCACAAAGTGAAATATTGCATCGTAACGATGTTGTTACGTCCGTTATCGTTTTCAATAACGACAACCAAACGACAATATAATTTCGCGATATCGCGATATTTTTGGATTTTTTTTCCAGCTAAGTGTCAGTGATTGTTGAAATAACGCACGAAAGGACCCAAAGGACCTCGATGTGTCAGAAAATGCCATGAACACGTCATTTTGACAGATTAGTGTTCTTTCGAGAGGATGGAGGGCCACATGGGTCTTTGGTAATTACCTGGGCCAGTGGTAGAATTGTTGGAGTTGCACTGATTAGCACGGTTATTTTGAGTGGCACGGTCCATTTTCTGCAAAAGTAAAAATAAAAGGTTACAAGGTACCCAGCAGCACCAATGCACTTCAACGCGTATTAACTGTGGCAACGCGCGTAAAAATGCGCATACAAGGGGTGCGCTTCGTGTGAATTACGCGCATAATATTCCAATCGCATTTGAAGCGTTAAAGCGCATTATGCGTCGAAGATGGGAGTTCGCAGCTCTTTGCACGGCTCTTCCCCCTCCGGGCCCCCGCCCCTGCCACCCCCTCACCGTTTGCGTTCGAAAGATATTGCTTATCTGTACTTCGTCCCTATATTTGCAGGCTAATTTCCAAGAATCTCATCGCACCATGTCAAAGCTGTCCCTAGATTTCTTCCGTGTCGCCTTTGGCGCTTTTTGCTATGGTATTTCCCACAAAAAGACAAGGTGTCCGAGGATCTTTCCCTAGAGACGTTCGTTCTTTCCGTAAGAGAGGCACAAGCACAAGCACATTTCACTCAAGTGCAGTTTTCGTGCCTTTACAGGCGAGCTAACTTGTTCGTCCTCCTACACCCCAAAAATGTGTCCTACTTTTCTACTCAAAACAAATCACAATCACTCAAGAAAATCAAGTACACAAAAACAATCCTTATCAACACAAACGGGTAACTTTTACGTCCGTGGGTAGAAACAGCCGCAAGGGACTGCCTCGAAATGAACCACAATCAAAACCACACTTTTCAGGGTGTACAGGGAACGGTTTTCACAGGATGACTCACCTTGACAAGAAGTTTGGGAATGACGCTTGGGAACGACGCTTGCGGACGACACTTGCGAACGGCACAGACAGCGCGGCGAGAACAACTCTCGGCGGGGTGGCAGGCGGATTGCGAGGGGCTGGTCTGGATGGCGTCGGTGTTGGTCGTTCCTGACGAGGTGGGCGTTCTGCGTGTGCAATTCCTTGCCTTCGGGCTGGCTGCTGGTCGCCGAGTGACGCGGACGCCTTTTATACGAGGGCTGGGAGAGCTCCAGTTGTTAGGGGTTCCCACTAGGGGTCCACCGCCGGTGAAGTCCAGGGGGGGCTGGTGTGGCCCGGCGGCCCTGGCCCCGCCCCGCGGCCGACCCTTCCCCCTCCCACGAAGCTCCGGCCCGCGGCCCGCCGCGCCATGCGCGGGGGGCCCAACCCAGCCCATTCGCAAGCGCCATCGCCTGCACCCGAGCTCTCGAGCAGCGGGCCGGGACACGGCAGCGGGCGCGACCGGGGACCGGGTTACACCCTCTGGAAACGTCTCTGGGTAGAGCAGCTCTTTTTGCTTCCTTTTGAGCTAAATGTTCATCCAAAAATTCCTAAAAGTGGTGAAACTTTGCGGGCACGATGCTTGGGCCCCGACCCGGCCACCTAATTCAGTCTCCCGTTCATATTTCACCGTTCTATAGTCTCATGGTTTGTGTCTCATTCCCTCTTTTCGAAAACAAAAGGCGAGCGTGCAAGGGATCATCCAGAGAGTACGTCCGTCATGAACCGTTACAAAACCGCCAAGTTGAGCGGACGTAAGCTCACGAGCGCCTGGTGGGTAGGCAACATCTTGCCTGCAATGCATGCGTGCGTAGCGGGGTGGCCCACCCCAAACCTCGCAGGCGCCCAGCAGGGGAATGAATTGGAGGAAAAGCGGACGAACTTTCGGGACGACCCCTAAGAGCATATGAGCGCTCCTTCCAATGCGGTATAAACACTTCACCCTCGGCTTCAACGCAGTTCTTTCAACAGTGCGCCTGCAAGTAAAAGGGTAAAAAAAATAAAGAAGAAAAATAATTGTTTCCTTCCTGTTTTAAGGCGCTATAGATCGCAACGCACATCTCGCATCTCGCTGAC